CGGAGGACAGTGGGACGTGGGACGCCGGCGGGCTGGGAGGAAGAATTTGGAAACGGAAAGTCAAATCGGCTGTCGGAGAGGCGCCCCGCCGGCTTTGGTGTGGCCTGGCCGGGTGATCGGGCGCAGGTCGCCGTGCCCGGTTTCACCTGCCGTGGACCGGAAAGCCTGCTAATGGGTTGTAATGTCTTCAAAGAGTTGCCAGTTCGTCTTGGGATAAAACCTAAAGTAGCTGCTTGTAACAACGTAGTTTATTAAAAGTTGAGACTAAAACATAGGACACCAAGGAGCTGCGTGTCACAGTGGCATAGCTGCCCTACTGGCTTTACGGAGTGTTTTTCCTGGTGTTCAGTGCTGCTTGCTAAAAACGGGCTTCTCCTTAAAAAACTAGTTTTGTTTATATGGTCAAAAGATGCCAGTTGTGTTTATTCCGGTTCAACATCCACAATTTTTAAAGCAAAACCATTTGTCCTGAGGTAATTCCTCTTAGCAGTATGCTGCCCTGTTTTGGCTAGTCTTTTAAAACACTTCATATTTTAAAAGGAGATCCACATTTCATACATTTGAGGTTATAGTCGCAGTGATGTAAGCATTCTACAGACATACAACTTCCTAGGATTTCTGTAGGACTGGAATGGTAGCTGCCTCCAAAATAATTCAGAAAAAAGGATGGAGAATGTTTCCTGTCACATCAGACTGATACTAGGAGTGGAAGAGACGCTAAATACATTTGCAGGTTTAATAACTGCAGATAGTTTACATTCCTAATATTTTGAATTATCACACAGGAAACATAAATATGAAGATATTTTAAGTATTGTTGCTTGCATGAACTTAAGTCTGTACAGATATTTTTGAGGCAATTCACGTTTCTAAGGAGCTGTCCTGTGGGCATATAGGAGCTTAGTTAACTCAAAAGTTTTTCTTCAGCTGGCAGCTGGCTTTACTTGGCCTTTTGTTTATACCCACTTTCTTTTTTTTTTTTAATCTGGCAGTGAGATGAGCTCATCCTGAATTAAGTCCCCAGAAAGGGGATCAGTTTTTGTCAGTCAGTTTGCTGAAATGGTTGGATGGTCTTTGTGCACGCACCAGCTCAAGCGTAGAGAGGGAGGGAATGGATGCTGTGGCCAGGAATTGAGGTGAGAGCTAGGGACATGATAGCTGCCCAAATGTCATTCATTTATGAGTATTCTTGTTGCTCTTCACCAAAATGCTCAAAATTCTTGGCATGGTGTAGTTAGAACTAAGTTAGTCAGGTTTGGTTTGTGTTGTCTTAGGTCATAAAAGCTCGGGTATGTGTGATCTTCATTTTAGTAAAGCAGCTAGCTTTCCTTTACACAGTCCCTTCACAGGTTAAGAGCTTGAAATAAAACCTTTGCATTTAAAAAATAGTTTTCTTACATTTGCTGTTGTTCTAGACAAAGTTAGAAATGTATAATTTTTCCAGTGTACTCATTCCCACTTGGGGAAGGGTCAACTAAGGTTATTAGTTAAAGATTTTTCCTAAGCAAGGTTATAACCATTGGAACAGTTCAATGAGATTCTGGCTTTCCTGTTCCTGACTCCCTGTCCTCATCTTCCTCCCCAGTTTCCATAGGTTGTGCACATGAATAATTATATACCCTTCTCAAAAGGATTTTGCAGCAGGCTAATGAAAGGTGTGACAGATGATTACAGGGCAGGAATGTGCATGAGAGATTCCAGGGAGAATCCTTCAGTTAAGAATGAGAAGGTGCAGATAGTGGTGTGTGGTGTAACACAGTAGAACCCTTGATTTGAATTCTCCTGTGCTGAAGATATTTAGTATTTTCTTCAGACAACATGTGATTTCACAGGGAAAGAACAAATACTGAGTTGTCTATGGGAGGAGTAAGATGGGGCTGCAGAAAGCAAGGTTCATAGCTAAGTTAATGCCCATTTGTTTCCCAAGCTTTTAAGGACAGTCTTAAATTCTATGCCCCAATAGTGCTTTGGAAGAACACAAAACACTCCCAACACTACTCTTAACACACATTTTCAGGTAACATGCTTTGGGTTTTTTGAGAAAATGTACCTGGCAGTGGATGGAGGAGCATTTCTGAAGTTAGATCAAAAGATGCTTTCTGGGAATTTCCATCTGCCCTTATTTGCCATTGGAGCTCTGTTCCCTCCCCTGTATAAGGGAGCCTTAGGTGACTGAGAAGAGTATTATTAACCAGGTGCAAACAGGAGAAATACATGGAAGAGCAATCAGTCTTTGACAGTTTGTTTTGATTCATTATAAGATGAAGCTAATTTTCTGTCTTTCTGTCTCTTAATCTCAGCTTAGATATGTACGTACTGTCTAGAAATTCTGCTTCTGAGCTAAGTCTTCACCTCCACCTCCTCCGCATTCTCTGGGATGCTCTCTTTCAAGACAGTCTAACTTAGAAATTGTAGAATGCTTTGGGTATTGAAATAAACCTCCTATTAATATAGCTCATTTCAAGATTTTCCCCTCTAATTTACATGTTCCAGGAAAAAGAAATTTGGATTCGGCCTTATCTGATTTTGTAAGGCACATCAGTGCTTTCAGGTGGGCC